ACGGTTGGCCAAGAGGGAGGTTGAAATGGATGTTAAATAGATATTCGTGGCACTCGCGATATTCTTCTGCTTGGTGAGTTCTTCCTCGTCTACGATCAATAAATCGGCACCACTTTTCTGGCTCTTGCCCGGAAGAATCAAGTTAAGCGTTTTCCAGAAGCTCCGTGGGTTAGATTCGTAATCTTGTAATTTATCGGCGAAGTAATAAATGAGGTAACAAGATTACACAGTCGCCTGTATTCCGTCCAGTCCGATGGCCGGTTAAGTTTTCTTGCCTTTCAGTAGAACTGATTACGCCTTCTCATCATGACCAGTATCGATTTGTCAAGCCAGGGATGAGTCGACTTTCACACGCGCTTTCGGCGGATGATAAAAAACATAATTTTCATCCAAGGCTAAAAAAAAAAGACTACTTGATTTGAATAACAAGTCAATCAAATAAGCTTGAATGTGGTCTGTCTGAGTTTCCTGCATAAGTGCTAACATGGGATGCATATAAATAAACTAAGTGAACTTTACAAATCACTCGGAATGTTGTTAATGATATGTCCATGTCTTGTTTTTTTTTCTTTTAGGGAATAAAATCCAGAATGTCGCACCACTTTTTGAAAGTCGCGTTTTTAATCATTGGTATTTCCCTATGTGCACTTCTTATGAACACGATGACCCGCTTTGATGGATACAACGGTAGTTAGATCGATAATCTTCTCCTTATTTCACGTTTGTTTCCTTGAAGTTCACATATGAAATTGATTTTGAATGCTTTCAGTATTCCTTTCTTTTTTCTTTGATCAATTTTTCGTTTTTTACAAGTGACATATTTCATATGAAAATGTTATTAAAAAGCAACCGTGTTCTAATAGGCATAGTATTAATACTAACAAAGCACCAAAGCAGCCTTCTTTTTGGATGGATAGACCTGCGGCTAGCTGATAAAAGAAACTTGCAATCAAAGCGAGACTTGCAACTGATCAAAGCTGTCTATCCTTGATTTCTCTAGAAATGGATTCCAAAGGAGTGTGGTAGAGTTTCAACAATTCACGATTACTATTTTTTTTAAGCGCTACACCGTTCAAATCCATCGCCACTTGATGCCAGAGTTTACGACAAAGTCAGGATTTTTTTGTTGTTTATTGGTTACAACAGAAGCAGACACACCCTGCTTGCAGCTTTGTTAGACGCTCATCCACATGTTGTCGTTGCCAATGACCTTAACATCCTACAGCAGTGGATTACCATGCCTGGAATATTTCACAGGAAAAAATATTTTATCTATGAGCTGATTTATGCCAAATCACGGTATGATGTGATGTATGGTGTGCGCTCTAGAGCAGTAAACGGGGGCCCAGTACAGTATCATTACAACGTAAAGGGTCAGTGGCAAGGGAAGATTCATGAGAGTGTACAGGTACAGTTTTCATTTTGCTATAATCACTACTCTATCTCTTGTAAGCAGTTAACAAGAGGCACAAATCAACCAACGATTAATACTGAGGCGATCATGAAGTTACATAAACCAAATCAAGGCACTAAAAGCATTGTGGTACAATAAGTCGGAGAAAGCGATTAGTTTGTGCTTTGTGCCCAGAGACACACAAAGTTGATAGGTCAGGGTTTCAAAATGGAATTACAATAAAATAAAATAAAAAAATATTTATAATTGACAGGCGAAATTGAAAGAAGCATATATTAGGCAATCGTTGTTGGAGCCCAGATAGGGGAACCATGAAGCTTTCGAGTTAGCCCCTTTAAATTATTATTATATCAAACTTGCTATTATTATTATTATTATTATTATTATTATTATTATTAATAATATCATTATTTGTTACCATTTTATTATTGGTTGAATGTCAATAAGACGATATATTCTTGGATCATCTTTCTCTTGTGGAAAAGAGTACTTAGTCATAAATATATGGGATGAGGCAAGTTTTCTGTTTTGCATATGAGAAAAATCTTCTGCAGCACTACTACATTCTAGCGTCATTATACAACTTCTAGTTCTTTACAATGCCGTAAACATCGTGTTATACCAATAGCCACATGAATTCTTTCACCGTCTATTTTTAATTTTTCTAACAGTTAACAAATGCTTGCCTAAAGAACCCGGAATTACGGAAAGATCCTTCAGAAGCTGAACAATGTTTTAGCGAGTAGATAATAAAGAAAAGAGAGGTTATTAAAACTGAAGAGAGAGGCTTTACGGAAAACATTTTTATTGAAGCAATGGTAAAGGTAATTTAAAAGGTTTCGAAATAAACTTTAAAACATTTGTTAAGTAGTATCTGACACGATCTGACACCTGTCAATTGGAGAGAAAAAAAGCACACGTTCACCTTTGAATAGGCAACAGCACCCAAATGGCAAACCGACACACGAAATAAAGGACTATCACGATAATCTTCTCTTAAAAACGCTCAGCGATCTTACGGAAAGTATTAAAGAGATTAGAGAGATTTAGCACCGTGTTTACGAGAAACGGCAAACGTCAGCTGGCCCTCTTACTTTTCACGTAAAATGGCGTAAACCCTGCTGCTTTAGCTTCGCGTAAGCTCACGTCAGGGTGGATTTAAAGGTGCCCGTGTATAACTTACAAGGAATAGTTTTTGTACCCTTTCTCCGACAATTAATTTCTACTCTGTGAGAGAAAAAGTGAAGAAAATCTTACGTACACGGCAAACAGGTTACTTTCACTCAGAAACGGCAAAGCGCAACCAGCAAGCATGCAAAAATGGCGGGAAAAAACAAGGTTACGTGGTCACTCTTGCCATTCACTTTTCATGTAAATCTCTATATCATTTTCGACGACAACTAACCTTCAAAGATTTACCTCTGTTCTGTTGTAAATGTCACGGAAAGTCAAATCGTAAGTTATTTCGAATGTATGTTCGATGCTGAAGTTGTGAGAGTATGCTTTTTTGTTTTCTGCAATGGCATGTGTATAGTTTGTCTTTCTTCCACCGAAAAAACTGAA